ACTGAGCTCCAGTTTAAACCCAGTTCCAGCCCAGTTCAAACCCAGTTCAAACCCAGTTTAAACCCATCTCAAACCCAGTTCCAGCCCAGTTCCAGCCCAGTTCCAGCCCAGTTTAAGCCCGGTTCCAGCCCAGTTTAAGCCCGGTTCCAGCCCAGCTTAAGCCCGGTTCCAGCCCAGTTCCAGCCCGGTTCCAGCCCCGTTCCAGCCCAGTTCCATCCCAGTTTAAACCCGGTTATAGCCCAGTTGAAGCCCGGTTCCAGGCGCTCACCTTCTGTGCCCCCGAGAAGGCGTGGTAGAAGCAGGACACGTAGGTCATGATGGCCTTCTCGTCCGGCCGCAGCGTGCCCACGATGTCTGCGGGGACAGCAATGGGGCTCAGACCCACAGAGACCCACAGCGAGCAATGGGGCTCAGCCCCACATAGAGAGAGAGCAATGGGGCTCAGACCCACAGCGAGCAATGGGGCTCAGCCCCACATAGAGACAGCAATGGGGCTGAGCCCCACAGAGACCCACAAAGAGCAATGGGGCTGAGCCCCACATGGCCCCACACTGCACAGCCTAGGATATGGGATGGTCCTCCTTGGGTTGAGGTCCTCCTTAAGACCCCCATGGCCAAGAGGTGGCCACCACGATGGCTCTTCCATAGTGGCCAATGGGGCCACCTCCAAGCTTGGAGTCCTCCTTAAGGCCCCCATGGCCAAGAGGTGGCCACCATGGTGGCTCTTCCATAGTGGCCAATGGAGCCACCTCCAAGCTTGGAGTCCTCCTTAAGACCTCTATGGCCAAGAAGTGGCCACCACGATGGCTCCTCCATAGTGGCCAATGGGGCCACCTCCATGACCCCATATCCATGCTTGGACCTTCTTGGGTCGAGGTCCTCCTTAAGACCCCCATGGCCAAGAGGTGGCCACCACGATGGCTCCTCCATAGTGGCCAATGGGGCCACCTCCATGACCCCATATCCATGCTTGGACCTTCTTGGGTCGAGGTCCTCCTTAAGACTCCCATGGCCAAGAGGTGGCCACCACGATGGCTCCTCCATAGTGGCCAATGGGGCCACCTCCATGACCCCATCTCCATGCTGGGACCTCCCTAAGCCCCCCATTGGCCCAGAGGCGCCCCCGGGTGCCCCCATTGGCCTCACCCTCAGCATCGAGCATCTTGGGGATGTCCAGGAACTTCTCGGCCACCTCGAAGGCGTTGTTGAGGTTGGTGACGGGGTCGTCCTGGGGGGAGAGGGGTTGGAGGGGGGTCGGCGTTCCCGGTATTCATTCCCAGTATTCCCAGTATTCATTCCCAGTATTCCCAGTATTCATTCCCAGTATTCATTCATTCCCAGTATTCATTCATTCCCAGTATTCATTCATTCCCAGTATTCCCAGCATTCATTCCCAGTATTCATTCCCAGTATTCCCAGTATTCCCAGTATTCCCAGTGTTCCCAGTATTCCCAGTATTCCCAGTATTCCCAGTATTCCCAGTATTCCCAGTATTCCCAGTACTCATTCCCAGTATCCATTCCCAGTATTCCCAGTATCCATTCCCAGTATTCTCAGTATTCATTCCCAGTATTCCCACTATCCATTCCCAGTATTCCCAGTATCCATTCCCAGTATTCCCAGTATCCATTCCCAGTATTCCCAGTACTCATTCCCAGTATTCCCAGTATCCATTCCCGGCGCCGTCCCCACCTTGCGGAGCTTCTCGTACTCGATGAGCTCCGGGCGGTGCCGGTGGATGAGGGCGTTGAAGGCCAGCCCGTCCTTCCAGCTGCGGGGGCAGAGCAGGGCTCGGAGACCGGTACCCCGGTATCCCAGCATCCCCGTATCCCAGTATCCCCATATCCCAGCATCCCAGCATCCCCGTATCCCAGTATCCCCATATCCAAGCATCCCCATATCCCAGCATCCCAGTATCCCCGTATCCCATCATCCCCGCATCCCAGCATCCCAGTATCCCAGCATCCTCATATCCCAGCATCCCAGTATCCCAGCATCCCGGTATCCCAGCATCCCGGTATCCCAGCATCCCCGTATCCCAGCATCCCAACATCCCAGTATCCCGGTATCCTGGCATCCCAGTATCCTGGCAACCCGGCATCCCGGTATCCCAGCATCCCGGTACCCCAGCATCCCAGTATCCCAGCATCCCAACATCCCGGTATCCCAGCATCCCGGTACCCCAGCATCCCAGTATCCCGGCATCCCAACATCCCGGTATCCCAGCATCCCAGTATCCAAGCATCCCGGTATTACAGCATCCCGGTATCCCAGCATCCCCATATCCCAGCATCCTGGTATCCCAGCATCCCAGTATCCCATCATCCCAGCATCATGGTATCCCAGCATCCCCGTATCCCAGCATCCCCATATCCTAATCCCAGCATCCCCGTATCCCAGCATCCAGGGAGGCCGGGATTCCAATGGGAAGAGATGGAGGGGAATGAGGAGGGAATTCCTCTGGGATCAATGGGGAGGCTTTGGATGAGGCTGGAAGCAACGGGGGCTGGACCCTTCCCACCCATCCCATCCCATCAATCCCAGTTGCTCCCTTCCCACCCATCCCATCCCATCAATCCCAGTTGCTCCCTTCCCATCCATCCCATCCCATCCCATCAATCCCAGTTATCCCAGTACCTGATATGGAAGTTCTGGACATTGACGTTCTTATAGGGCGCCGTCTTCCGTTGGCACCATAGCAACAGCCCCTCCTTGGCCGAGGTCTCTGCGAGGGACATCCCATAAGGCACCGGATCCCGTCGGATCCCATTGGATCCCACTGGATCCCACTGGATCTGCACCCCTACCTTCCACGGAGATGTCCTGGATGGCGAAGCGGAGGATGATGGTCCAGATCATCCCCAGCGTCATCTTGGCGTTCCCATCCACGATCTCTGCCAAAGGAAACCGGGATGGATTGGGATGGGGGGAGGATCCCAATGGATCCCAATGGATCCCGGTATTCCATAGGGAATGGTGCTGGATGGGATGGGGATTGAGGGAAGGGCGTGGAAGGGATTGGGGAGAGGGGCTTTGGGGATGGGATGGGGAGGAAGGGATCCGATGGGATGGGGAGAGGAGGAAGGGATCCAATGGGATGGGGAGGAAGGGAGCCAATGGGATGAGGAGGAAGGGATCCAATGGGATGGGGAGAGGAGGAAGGGATCCAATGGGATGAGCAGGAAGGGATCCAATGGGATGGGGAGAGGAGGAAGGGATCCAATGGGATGAGCAGGAAGGGATCCAATGGGATGAGGAGGGAGGGTTAAAATGGGATGGGGAGGAAGGGATCCAATGGGATGGGGAGAGGAGGAAGGGATACAATGGGATGGGGAGAGGAGGAAGGGATCCAATGGGATGGGGAGGAAGGGAGCCAATGGGATGAGGAGGAAGGGATCCAACGGGATGAGGATGGGCCCTATGGGATGGGATGGGCTCTATGGGATGGGATGGGCCCTATGGCATGGGATGGGATGGACCCTATGGGATGGGATGGGCCCCATGGAGGCTGGAGGTGGCCAAGGTCCAGGTCCCTCCCCATGAGTCACTGTGGGTGCGCCCTGAGTCAGCGCTGACATTGGGAGCGTTCCAAGGAGCACCCATGGGTGGGGGGGGGACCTGCATGGGTGGGGGGCATGCAAGGGGGGGAGGATGGCACCCATGGCTGGGGGAGGGACGACACAAGGGGGAGGGGGCACCCATGGGTGTGTGTGTGGGGGCACTCATATGTGGGGAGGGCACCCATGGGTGGGGGGTGGCGGGCACTCATATGTGTGTGGTGGGGCACCCATGAGTGTGTGCGTGGGGGGCACCATGGGGGTGTGTGTGGGGGCACCCATGGGAGTGTGGGGGGGGGCACCCATGGGTGTGGAGGGGGGGCACTCATATGTGTGTGTGTGGGGGGGTAAAGGGCACCCATGGGGGGGGGCACCAATGTGTTGGGTGTGTGGGGGGCTCCCATGGGGGTGTGTGTGGGGGGGGGCACCCATGGGGGGGGTATGTGTGGCACCCATGGGTGTGTGTGGGGGTAAAGGGCACCCATGGGTGTGTGCGTGGGGGGTCACCCATGAGCTGGGGGTGGGGGGCACCCATGGGGGTGTGTGGGGTGCACCCATGGGTGCTGGGGTCACCTTCGGCGCCGATGGAGACGAGCTTGACCCCCTTGCTGGCGATGAAGTCCAGCGCCTTGTTGACGTTGTTGATCTTGTGAACCCGCATCTTGCCCCGCTCCGGCTTGGGGAGACGCTCGCCTGTAGAGGGAATGGGAATGGGATGGGATGGGGTGGGATGGGATGGGGATGGGATGGGGATGGGATGGGGATGGGATGGGGATGGGATGGGGATGGGGATGGGATGGGGATGGGGATGGGATGGGGATGGGGATGGGATGGGGATGGGATGGGGATGGGGATGGGATGGGGATGGGATGGGGATGGGGATGGGGATGGGGATGGGGATGGGATGGGATGGGATGGGATGGGATGGGGATGGGATGGGGATGGGATGGGATGGGGATGGGATGGGATGGGATGGGATGGGGATGGGATGGGGATGGGATGGGGATGGGATGGGATGGGGATGGGATGGGATGGGGATGGGATGGGGATGGGGATGGGATGGGGATGGGATGGGGATGGGATGGTGTGGGGATGGGGGGGAATAGGGGGGAATAGGGGGGAATGGGAATGGGGAGGGAGTAAGAATGGGGGGAACGGGGTGCGGTAATGGGGTGCAGGAATGGGATGCGGGAACGGGATGCAGGGAATGGGATGCAGGGATGGGATGCAGGATACAGGAATGGGATACAGGAACGGGATGCAGGGATAGGATGCAGGCAATGGGATGCAGGCACAGGATACAGGGATAGGATGCAGCAATGGGATGCAGGGATAGGATGCAGGAACGGGATGCAGGGAACAGGGATGGGATGCAGGATACAGGGATGGGATACAGGGATGGGATGCAGGATACAGGGATGGGATGCAGGATACAGGGATGGGATGCAGGATACAGGGATGGGATGCAGGATACAGGGATGGGATGCAGGATACAGGGATGGGATGCAGGATACAGGGATGGGATGCAGGATACAGGGATGCAGGCGATGGGATGCAGGCAATGGGATGCAGGATACAGGGATACAGGCAATGGGATACAGGGATGGGATGCAGGATACAGGGATGCAGGCAATGGGATGCGGGAACAGGATACAGGGATGGGATGCAGGGAACAGGGATAGGATGCAGGATACAGGGATGGGATGCAGGATACAGGGATGCAGGCGATGGGATGCAGGCAATGGGATGCAGGATACAGGGATACAGGCAATGGGATACAGGGATGGGATGCAGGATACAGGGATGCAGGCAATGGGATGCGGGAACAGGATACAGGGATGGGATGCAGGGAACAGGGATAGGATGCAGGATACAGGGATGGGATGCAGGATACAGGGATGCAGGCAATGGGATACAGGAACGGGATGCAGGGAACAGGGATGGGATGCAGGATGCAGGCAACGGGATGCGGGCACGGGGAGGCCGCTGACCCGAGATGACCTCCAGCAGCAGCATGAGCTTGAGGCCGTCCCGGAAATCCTCCTCGATGTTCTCGATGTGGGTCCCCGCTTTGCGCAGGTGGGAGTTGCACCAGGCCGTGAAGGTCTGCGGGGGAGACCCCCATGGCACCGGGCCGCGACCACCCGCAGCCCAGCACCCGGAGCCCAGCACCCGCAGCCCAGCACCCGGAGCCCAGCACCCGGAGCCCAGCACCCGGAGCCCAGTGGGAAGCACCCGGAGCCCAGCGGATCCCATTGGGAAGCACCCGGAGCCCATTGGATCCCATTGGGTAGCACCCGGAGCCCATTGGATCCCATTGGGTAGCACCCGGAGCCCATCGGGAAGCACCCAGATCCCATTGGATCCCATTGGGATGCACCCGGAGCCCAGCACCCAGAGCCCAGTGGATCCCACTGGGATGCACCCGGAGCCCAGCACCCGGAGCCCAGTGGGAAGCACCCGGAGCCCATCGGATCCCATTGGGATGCACCCGGAGCCCATCAGAAAGCACCCAGATACCATTGGAATGCACCCAGATCCCATCAGATCCCATCGGAAAGCACCCAGATCCAATTAGGATGCACCCAGATTTCACTGGATCCCATTGGGAAGCACCCGGAGCCCACTGGATCCCATTGGGAAGCACCCGGATCCCATTGGATCTCATTGGGAAGCACCTGGATCCCATTGGATCTCATTAGGAAGCACCCGGATCCCATCAGATCTCATTGGGATGCACCCGGAGCCCATTGGATCTCATTGGGAAGCACCTGGATCCCATTGGACTCATTAGGAAGCACCCGGATCCCATCAGATCTCATTGGGATGCACCCGGAGCCCATTGGATCCCATTGGGATGCACCCGGAGCCCATTGGATCTCATTGGGATGCACCCGGATCCCATTGGATCCCATTGGGAAGCACCCGGATCCCATTGGATCCCATTGGGAAGCACCCGGATCCCAGTGGATCCCATTGGGAAGCACCCGGATCCCAGTGGATCCCATTGGGAAGCACCCGGATCCCATCAAATGCCATCAGGATGCACCCAGAACCCATCAGATCCCATTGGGATGCACTCAGATCCCATCAGATCCCATCCCTGCCCTCTACTGTACCCATGGATCCCATCCCAGTGTCTGATCCCCTCTGACCACCATGGCCACCATTGACCATCATTGACCACCATGGCAATCATTGACAACCACTGACCACCACTGACCAGCATTGACCATCATGACCCAACTGATCACCATTGACCACCATGGTCACCACTGACCACCACTGACTCCCATTGACCACCACGGCCACCATTGACCACCATGGCCACCACGGCCACCACTGACCATCACTGACCACCATAGCCACCGTTGACCACCATGGCCACCACTGACCACAACTTCACTGGCCACCATTAACCACCATGGCCATGACCTCATTGGCCACCATTGACCACCATGGCCACCACTGACCACCATTGACAACCACTGACCACCATTGACTCCCATTGGCCAGGGGCAACCCCTCCCCCCAGAGAACCCCATTGCCCACTGAGCACCTCCATCCCTATGGAATCAGGAGCCCCCCCCCCATTCCCAAGGGATTTCCGGGTTGAACCCCCCCTCCCCCATCCCCATTCCCAAGGGAATTCCGGGTTAAACCCCCCCTCCCCCCCCCATTCCCAAGGGAATTCCCCTCCCCCCCAGGAGCTTTTCCTGCTCTCCGGAATCCCGGACATCCCAGCCCTGCCCCTGGAATTTCCTCCCGGAAACCCCTCCCGGCCACTGTGGCCAATGGGGAGGAAGAGGGGGCCCTGCCTGCCCCTCTCCCCCCCAGCATTCCCAACCATGGGAACACCGAGCCCATTCCTTAGGGATCTGCCCCCCATTCCTTAGGGATCTGCCCCCCGTTCCTTAGGGATTTGCCCCCCATTCCTTAGGGATCTGCCCCCCGTTCCTTAGGGATTTGCCCCCCATTCCTTAGGGAATTGCCCCCCATTCCTTAGGGAATTGCCCCCCATTCCTTAGGGATTTGCCCCCCATTCCTTAGGGAATTGCCCTCCATTCCTTAGGGAATTGCCCCCCATTCCTTAGGGATTTGCCCCCCATTCCTTAGGGTTCTGCCCCCCATTCCTTAGGGATTTGCCCCCCATTCCTTAGGGATCTGCCCCCCGTTCCTTAGGGATCTGCCCCCCATTCCTTAGGGAACCACCCCCCATTCCTTAGGGCATTGCCCCCCGTTCCTTAGGGATTTGCCCCCATTCCTTCAGGACCCCCTCTCCCATGCAGGAGCCATGGAAAACATTCCCGGAATGTGGAAAACCGGGGATCCCCCCCCCCCCATGGGGATCCAGGGATGCTGAGGGAGCGGCAGCTCCGCCTCCGCCCCCCATTCCCAAGGGATTCTCCTCATTCCTTGCCCTTATTAGGGCCGGGCAGGAGGCGGAAAGGGAGAATTCCCGGCTCCTGGAATGGGATCCCGGGGCTCGGCCCATTGCTCCTATGGGGCCTCAAGCCCCAGCCCATTGCTCCTATGGGGCCTCAAGCCCCAGCCCATTGCTCCTATGGGGCCTCAAGCCCCAGCCCATTGCTCCTATGGGGCCTCAAGCCCCAGCCCATTGCTCCTATGGGGCCTCAAGCCCCAGCCCATTGCCCCTATGGGGCCTCAAGCCCCAGCCCATTGCTCCTATGGGGCCTCAAGCCCTGCCTGGGGGGAGCATCCCAACCGCCCCCAGCGTTCCCATGGGAATCCCTATGGATGCTCCGGAGCCGCTGCATCCCGGAGCCCTGGAGCCCTTCCCTGGCCATGGCCCATCCCATGGGAATGGGCACTGGGATATGGGAGCATCCCAGCATGGGGATACGGGAGCATCCCAGTGCCATTCCCATGGGGATACGGGAGCATCCCAGTGCTCATCCCATGGGAATATGGGACCATCCCAGTGTCCATCCCATGGGAATACGGGAGCATCCCAGTGTCATTCCCATGGGAATACGGGAGCATCCCAGTGCTCATCCCATGGGAATATGGGACCATCCCAGTGTCCATCCCATGGGAATACGGGAGCATCCCAGTGCCATTCCCATGGGGATACGGGAGCATCCCAGTGCCATTCCCATGGGGATACGGGAGCATCCCAGTGCCCATCCCATGGGGATACGGGAGCATCCCAGTGTCCATCCCATGGGAATATGGGACCATCCCAGTGCCATTCCCATGGGAATACGGGAGCATCCCAGTGCCCATCCCATGGGAATACGGGAGCATCCCAGTGCCCATCCCATGGGAATACGGGAGCATCCCAGTGCCATTCCCATGGGGATACGGGAGCATCCCAGTGCCCATCCCATGGGGATACGGGAGCATCCCAGTGCCCATCCCATGGGAATATGGGACCATCCCAGTGTCATTCCCATGGGAATACGGGAGCATCCCAGTGCCCATCCCATGCGAATACGGGAGCATCCCAGTGCCCATCCCATGGGAATATGGGAGCATCCCAGTGCCTGTGGTTAAACTGAGTGCAATGATACCGAGGAGGATGGATGGATACTGGGAATGATGGACGGACACTGGGAATGATGCCTGGACTTCCGGCCCCTTCCCATGGGATCCCCCCCATCCCCTCCCCATGGGATCCCCCCAACCCCTTCCCATGGGATCCCCCCGACCCCTTCCCATGGGATCCCCCCCGACCCCTTCCCATGGGATCCCCCCCGACCCCTTCCCATGGGATCCCCCCCTCCCCTTCCCATGGGATCCCCCCCATCCCCTCCCCATGGGATCCCCCCAACCCCTTGGGATCCCCCCAACCCCATGGGATCCCCCCTCCCCTTCCCATGGGATCCCCCAACCCCTTCCCATGGGATCCCCCCCATCCCCTCCCCATGGGATCCCCCCATCCCCTCCCCCATGGGATCCCCCCAACCCCTTCCCATGGGATCCCCCCACCCCCTTTCCCATGGGATCCCCCCTCCCCTTCCCATGGGATCCCCCAACCCTTTCCCATGGGATCCCCCCCTCCCCCTCCCCCCCCCCCGTCATTCCCAGTTCCTGGATTCCCATTTCCGGGAACGTCGTCGCCCTTCGCCCGGCCCCTCCCCCCCGCCCTTCCTCCTCTTCCCCATTCCAAAGGCAGGAGCGGAGCCGCGCCCGCCCCCCGCCCCCACCCCGCCCCATGGCTCCCTATGGGGGGCAGTGCCCCATAAACAATACCTATGGGGAGGGAGCGCCCCATAACCAACACCTATGGGGGGGGGAGCGCCCCATAACCAACACCTATGGGGAGGGAGCGCCCCATAACCAACTCCTATGGGGGGAACACCCCATAACCAACTCCTATGGGGGGAACGCCCCATAACCAACTCCTATGGGGGGGGAACGCCCCATAACCAACTCCTATGGGGGGGAGCACCCCATAACCAACTCCTATGGGGGCAGAGTACCCCATAACCAACTCCTATGGGGGGGAGCACCCCATAACCAACACCTATGGGGGGGAGCACCCCATAACCAACACCTATGGGGGGGAGCACCCCATAACCAACACCCATGGGGGGGGAGCACCCCATAACCAACACCCGTGGGGGGGGAGCACCCCATAACCAACACCTGTGGGGGGGAAGCACCCCATAACCAACTCCTATGGGGGGGAACACCCCATAACCAACTCCTATGGGGGGAGCACCCCATAACCAACTCCTATGGGGGGCAGAGCACCCCATAACCAACTCCTATGGGGGGCAGCCCCATAACCAACACCTATGGGGGGCAAAGCACCCCATAACCAACTCCTATGGGGGTGCAGCACCCCATAACCAACACCCATGGGGGGCAAGTGCCCTATAACCAACTCCTATGGGGGGAGAACACCCCATAACCAACTCCTATGGGGGGCAGAGCACCCCATAACCAACTCCTATGGGGGGCAGAGCACCCCATAACCAACTCCTATGGGGGGCACAGCACCCCATAACCAACTCCTATGGGGGGGAACACCCCATAACCAACTCCTATGGGGGGAAGCACCCCATAACCAACTCCTATGGAGGGCACAGCACCCCATAACCAACTCCTATGTGCGAGAACAGCCCATAACCAACTCCTATGGGGGAAGCACCCCATAACCAACACTCATGGGCGCTTATGGGGAGGGCAGCCCCATAAGCAACTCCTATGGGGGGCAGAGCACCCCATAACCAACTCCTATGGGTGCCTATGGGGGGGATCCCTCCATAGGCTCCAACACCTCATAGACCCCCAAAGAGCCCCCCCATTGCCTTTAACACCTCATAGACCCCCAATAGACCCCCCATAGAGCCCCCCCATTGCCTTTAACTCCTCATAGACCCCCAATAGAGCCCCCTATTGCCTTTAACACCTCAATGGAGCCCCCCCATTGCCTTTAACGCCTCATAGACCCCCAACAGACCCCCAACAGAGCCCCTCCATTGCCTTTAACACCTCAATGGGCCCCCCCATTGCATTTAACACCTCATAGACCGCCAAAGGACCCCCCAACAGAGCCCCCCCATTGCATTTAACACTTCATAGACCCCCAACAGAACCCCAATAGAGCCCCTCCATTGCCTTTAACACCTCATAGACCCCAATAGCCCCCCTATAGACCTCCCCCCATTGCCTTTAACGCCTCACAGACCCCCTATAAACCCCCTATACCCCCCCATTGCCTTTCCCACCTCACAACCCCCCCCCATTACCTCACAGGCCTCACCCCCCCCCCGTCCAGGCCCCACATCCCCTCCATCCCGCCCCATTCCCCCCCCTTGCCCCCCGTTATTCCCGCACCTTCCGCTGTTGTTTCTCCCAGGCCGGGTCCAGCAGCAGGTCCCGGTCCCAGTCCTCCTCCTGGGCCATGTAATCCCCGTCGGGCCCGGCCGGGGCCTGCGCCTGGGCCCGCTCCCGCTCCCGGTGGTAGTCCACCATGATGGCGGCGATGTCGCCCTGCTACCGCCGCCCAAACCCGCCCGTCTGCGCATGCGCGGGCCGGCCCCAGGGACACGCCCACCGACGCAAGCCACGCCCACAATGAGAGGGAGTGGAGGGAATGTGTGTGTGTGTGAGCGGTTTCCCGCCCGCCATGGTTCACCCGCACCAATCGCGTGGCGAAAGCGCGATGACGTAACAAAACCCCACCCACCGCGCTGCTAAACAACGCCCTTCATGAAGCGCACATTGACCCGCTAAACCACGCCCCCCGCTTCCGATTCGCCCATTGAGCGCCTAACCCCGCCCGCAGCACTGACGTGCACGAAGCTCCGCCCACGGCGCCGCTAAACCACGCCTCTCTTGAAGCGCACATTGACCCGCTAAGCCACGCCCCTCGCTTCCGATTCGCTCGTTAAGCGCCTACCACCGCCCGCAGCACTGATGTGATGCTAAACCACGCCTCTCGCTTCTGATTCGCCCATTGAGCCCCTAACCCCGCCCATCGCGCCGCTAAACTGCGCCCCTCTTGAGGTGCACGTTGATCCGCTAAACCACGCCCCTCGCTTCTGATTCGCTCGTTGAGCGCCTAACCCGCCCGCAACACTGACGTGACACGAAGCCCCGCGCACCGCGCCGCTAAATCACGCTCCTCTCTCCTCAGTTGCACATTGACCCGCTAAGCCCCGCCCACTCCAGCCCCGCGCACCAATCGCGTCGCGAAGCCGCGCTGACGTTCGGTAAACCACGCCCCTCTCCGCTGATTCGCCCATTGACCCTCTAAGCCACACCGCATGACTCACACCCACCGCTAAGCCCCGCCCACTGTTGCTCCCCGCATTAATCACGTCACGAAACCACGCCCCCATCGTCTGATACGCCTGTTGGGCCCCCAAACCCCGCCCACTGTGGTCCCCCGCACCAATCACATCACTAAACCCCACTGACGTCTCACTCAACCGCGCCCCTCGCTTCTGATTCGCCCATTGAGCCCCTAACCCCACCCGCAACCCTAACGTGACACCAAGCCCCGCCCACCGCGCCACTAAACCAGTCCCCTCTCTTCCGATTCGCCCATTGACCCTCTAAGCCCCACCCACATGGCGCCACTAAACCCCTCCCACCGCGCCGCTAAACCACGCCCCTCTCCTCCCATGCTCCCATTGAGCAGCACGATTCACACCCATCGCCAAGCCCCGCCCACAGGGGGGCGTGGCTTTCCCACCCCTACCCCATTCAATCCATCCCTATGGACCGAACCAATGCAGCCCGGGGAGTGGGGGGGGGACCACCCCTTTATTGAGCCATCACAGGGACGAGGCCATGATGCTGGAGACACCTATGGGAGAAGGGAGATGGTGATGGGGGTCTAAAAACCCCAAAATCAACCCAAATCAACCCAAATCAACTGAATTCAACCCAAAACTCACTGTCGAAGTCGATCTTCTCCACGATGTTCTTGGGTTTGATGCTCTCCTCCTGGTTGCAGATGAGGACCCGGCCCGGCTCCGCCTCGCACCACCCGTACTTGCTCATCCACACCTTGAGCTGGGCCTCTATGGGGGGGACACACATGGGGGGGGGGTTAAAGAGAGGGGGGACACCCCAAAAATACCCCCCAATTGATCACCAGTGGTACCCCTAAAATACCCCCCATTGAGACCCCTAAATTACCACTCCATTGGTACCCCTAAAAGCCCCCCATTGGTACCCCTAAAATACCCCCATTAAAACCCCTAAAATACCCCCCCATAGATCCCCATTGGTACCCCTAAAAGCCCCCCCATTGACCCCCACTGGTACCCCTAAAATACCCCCCCACTGGTTACCCCCATCCCCACTGACCCCCACTGGTACCCCCCCCACTGATACCCTCCCCATGCCCCCATTAGTACTCCCCCATTGGTCCCCCCCCATTGACCCCCACTGGTACCCTCCCCATTGTCCATCCATCCCCCCACTGACCCCCATTGTCCCCCCCATTGACCTCCACCGTCTCCCCCACTGTCTCCCCCATTGAACCCCATTGTTCCCCCTATTGTGCCCCCCATACCCGAGAGGTCCCCCAGCATCTCAGCCAGCAGCCAGCGGTCAATGTGCTGGTAGGTGATGCCCACCACATGGCAGATGACTGCAAAGTGATAACGGGGGGGGGGGGTGTCACATTTGGGGTGTCCCAGCCCCAAAATCCCCCCTTTTTACCCCAAATCCCCCTCACATTTCCGGACGGAATCCTCAAAGCCGGTGATCCCATCCAGCAGCTCCATGTTCTCATCCAGGGCTTGCTGGGGAGGGAGAATGGGATGGAATAGGATGGGGGATCCCCCCCATGGGATGGAAAAGGATGGGGGGGGTTGGGAATGGGGGACCCCCCCCCCCGGGATTGGGAATGGACGCACCCAGAAGGCCTGGAAGTGGCAGGTCTCCAGCAGCTCCCCCAGGTACAGGATCTGGCGGATGGGGCGCTCCTCCTGCTGCGGGGGGGGTCATGGAAAACATGGGGGGTAATGAGGGAAAAGTGTGGGAATGGGGGGAAAATGGGGGAAAACTGGGGGGAAACTGGGGGAAATTATGGGAAAAACGTGGGGAAAGTATGGGGAAAACTATGGGGAAAGTATGGGGAAACTGTGGGGAAAACTATGGGAGAACATGGGAAAAGTATGGGGAATTGGGGGAAAAATGTGGGAAAAACATGGGATAACATGGGAAAAGTATGGGAAATTGTGGGGAAAACATGGGGAAATGTGGGAAAAGTATGGGGAATTGTGGGGAAAACGGAGAGAAACATGGAAAAACTATGGGGAAAACTATGGGGAAAACTATGGGGAAAACTATGGGGAAAACCATGGGGAAAACCATGGGGAAACTGGGAAATTAAGGCAAACTATGGGGAAACTATGGAAAAATATGGGAAAAACATGGGAAAATGTAAGAAAGCATGGGAAAACATGGAGATGGGAAACAAGTGGGAAGAGGGAAGGGATGTGAAAGGATGGGGATGGGATGGGGATGGGATGGGGATGGGATGGGGATGGGATGGGGATGGGATGGGGATGGGGATGGGATGGGATGGGGATGGGATGGGGATGGGATGGGGATGGGATGGGGATGGGGGGGGGCAGGGTGTGGGTA